CTTAGGGTTTAGGGTTTATTACTTACTGCAGGAGCCTAAGTGGATAGGGCTAGGTATATCGGGATATATGGGTAGTTCCCAAAATTAGGGGATACCTTTTTGCGGGTCCCCATAATAAGGATCAAAGTATTTTGGGGTCTATATTGGGGTCTCCCTATTTAAGGAAGCTACCATATAAAGGGTTTAGGCTTTAGGGTTACTACCCCTGTAAGGGAGGATCAAATGGAACAGAAAATGGAGAATTGAATGGAAATTCGGTTTTGTATGGATGTTTACGAGGATGTAGGGGCCTACATGATTACCAAAATCATTTTGAGATTTAAGGTACCCTATCCCACAACATACAAGGAACCTAGGGCCAGTGCATTGGAAAACTGAGCCCCTGCATTATTCAGGCTGGCTACCCGAAACCATAAACCTTGAACCCTAAACCCTAGTCTCCACATCTGTTTCATAGACCATGTTTGATTGCGAGCGTGGGAAAACAAGTGGAAAGGAAAATAGGAAGTGAAATGCAAACTGGGCTTCTTAGGGCTTCATGAGGCTTGTAATGTTTGGGCCTGCAAAGTTGGAAAGGCTTGGAGGTATATAGTTCTGCAAGGAATATGAGAGGATTGCATTTGAAAATAATCCAGGCTGCAACATGGACATATAGTCACCCTTGAGTAGATAGAATATGGGGTATATGGGGATCTTATTTTCATATACCCAGAGCCATATTCTATCTACTTAAGGGGGACTACATACCTTGAAGCTCCTGCATGGTGGACTGCAGACAATTCAACTCCTTAAGGATTAGGATGCTCAGTTTGCACCTTTGCGATGTTTGGAGCCAGGGAGGAGCTGCTTCAAGTATCTGGTACACTCAGGGTTTAGGGTTTAGGGAGGCCCCCCTTGCTTTTGGTTCTTTCCCTGAATAGGGGAGAGCCTTATCTCTAGAGACTTTCAAAATGGTACCCCTAATTTGGGAAACACCCATACACACGTCCTACTGTCCCGTCCAGGCGGTGAAGTACGAAGGTTAAAGCCTTGGAGAGACAGAGGGATTCTGAATACATATATACAGTCCCCCTTAAGTAGATAGAATATGGCTTTGGATTGATTATAATAAGATCCCCATATACCCCATATTCTATCTACTTAAGGGGGACTATATATATATATACTTATATACATCTACCTATTAATTATTGCTATCCTTACTATTGTCATTATTATCAGCATTGCTTACTGTTATTCTTGATTCTTGTTTTACTTTTACCCTTTAGCAAGCGTCTTCCACATCCTGGTATCACTTGACCAGCTGAGGGAAGACTTCAACACCTCCTCCCTTCAACAATCTGCTGTCCCGACAAAGCCACGTCCAAAGACCTGGCAGCATACGTCTCATAACACAGGCTCTGAGGGCTAAGTTACTCAGAGCTCAATGCCACCCCCGCCACAGAAGGCGTAGAACGAAGACTGATGCACATTTTGTATTGGTCTCAAGAGAATGATGTGCCTCCATGGTGACAATCACGGGATGGCCCTTGAATATCTTCCCCAAAGCACCTGGCAGCAGCTTGCAACTGGCATGCAGGGGAAACTTGTCCTGGACCGCAGCGCACCCGGGCTCAGTGTGGAATTCCAAAAAGCTTGTTGAATTATATCTAAGAAGCTTTGCCGAACTAAAGAAGCACAGCCGAGGGAAAAACAAAAAAAGAGCCCCTGTAGGGCCCTCGGACTCCCCTCCAACCAGGCAGTGAAAGGGGCCCAAACACGCGGTAAGAGGGGCCATGACAAGGATCATATTCCCGTATTCCCTACTAACAATCAGTAATATATATATATATATACATCTTATAAGGAGTATATAGGGGTTTATTTCCTTGTTCCCTACTAACAACCAGTAAGATAAACTACACCCCCGAGTCGCCTCCGATAGGCCAATCTGGACCCAAAGCATGGCAGCTACAGTCTTAAGTCCTAGTATCCCCCTTAATAGTCCCTACTCCCCTGTATAATCCCCTATATAAACCCCCTTAAAGGAGTTTAGTTAGACCCTAAACCCTACACCCCAATTCCTAAACTCTAAACCCTATCTATGTGTGTATATGTATAACCCCTTTTAAGGAGTTTAGACTATAGCTCATGTCAGGCCGGGGTAAGACAAAGAGAACTCACAACTGGATTACTATATTGCGGCATAACATAGGGTTTAGGATTTAGGCGTTAGGGCTTAGGGTTTAGGGTTTGGGTTAAGGGCATACTATCCCCCTATAATGGAGAATCAAATAGAAAAGAAAATGGAAATGAAATAGAAACTGGTGCAATTTGGTGATTTAAGGAACTCAATTCAAGTTACTATATTGGGAAAACCCATTAATTACTATATATATATATACACCCATTATTACAACTTAAATTTAAGTTCCTAAACAGCAACCTAGAAAAGCTCGAACATAATGATGCTTTTGCATAATCTGAAAACTCTTTACCGACTACCACGGTATATGATTCACCTGAGCGACTGCAACTTTCAAGCGCCGGCTTTAGTAGCGCATGCCAATAATGTGTTGGAAGCTGCTGGCAATCCGACATGCTTTGGACTTTTCAAGCAGGTAAATACCAGCGGTTCTGGAATTCGGAAAATAAATTCAGGAGACACGAGCACACATGCTCTGACATTCAATCCTGACATCTAAGCCCGAGCATGTTCAGGTAATGTGGGGGACTAAAAAGATACCAATATCATGTTGAGGTCTGTTTGAGGTACCCTATACCCTAGATTATACAAAGAATCTGGAGCCTGAATATTGGTAGCTATTCCTGTAATACCCCTATATCAACCCAGTATACATATCACGTTCCTTGTTTTTCAACTGGATTTTCCATTAAGGCCCTAAACGCCCTAATCCCTAAATCCTATACCCTAAATCCTATACCCTAAACCAATACTGGTAAGTATTTAGCTCCCTGTAGTATATGCAATGCTCACATCATTGCCGACCTGCCGCTTCCAGAGGAGTCTTGTGCGAGACCACTAACCTCAAAGCAGGGTTGGGGATGAAGGGTTTCAGGGTTTAGGGCTTAGGGTTTAAGGTTTAGGGCTTAGGATTTAGGGTCTAGGGTTTAAGGTTCAGGGCTTAGGATGCAGGGTTCAGGGTTTAGGGGTTAGGGCTTAGGATTTAGGGCTAGTGGGGAACAAGGGGACCAGGCATCTGTGCAACCAAACTGGGTTCCATCTAGACTTGGCATGTCTTCCTGCAAAAAACCGGAGGCCACTGCCCCGTGGAGCGTCCCTCCAGATCCAGGAAGCAATACTCATTATGTCAAATCTGAAGAACCATGGCCATGATCCCGCGTATTAGGCAGGGGCCTGCAAGCCCAAACCATAAA